TTTTTTTTTTTTTTTTTTTTTTTTTTTTTTTTTTTTTTTTTTTTTTTTTTTTTTTTTTTTTTTTTTTTTTTTTTTTTTTTTTGGGGGGGGGATACCCTCCAGCTAAAGAGGGGTCCGGGGCCTCCGCCGGAAACTGTTTATTGATATATGCTCATTTTAACTATGAAATCTAACCTAGAAATCTACTTGGGGCACTCAGTCTTTTCCCATGTCATATGTTTCCCTGATGTGATGTGTTGTTTTATGTCTGAACGTCCACCATGACCAATACACGAAACATCATTGCAAACTGTGCACTCGGCTTCACTTTCATAGCGTCCCTTTTGAATATAGTTCAGCCCACATCACTACTGGCACTGGCTACACAGCTAGCCAAAATATTACTGGAAGTTATATTATAAATTAAGCAGTTTTAGTGATTTGAAAATGTGCTTGGTTTAAAAAACGGGACATTTCGGCGTCCCGAGAGACTTTTTCGGGACGAGTACGATCGTGAAAAAATGGTACAATACCGTTTTTACGGGACGTCTGGTCACCCTAAGGTAATAGCCTAGATGGCCTGTAGTAGTCCTCATGTCATCGTATTAGTCATCATTTGATACACTCTGGGATAAGGACCTTTGCTCTATGTAGTTACTTTGAGGTCATTTACTCTCATAATGGGACGATTTAGGATGGTCACAACAACATAAGGGAAGTAATTGATAGCGATGTCAACACAACTTAGAAGGCTGGAGTTATCATTTTATTTTATTGGAAAAATAAACGTGGTGCTTTATGTCACTTCTCTATGTGGACCTAACATTACTTCTCTATGTGGACCTAGTAACATTACTTCTCTCTGTGGACCTAGTAACATTACTTCTCTATGCGGACCTAGTAACATTACTTCTCTATGTGGACCTAGTCACATTACTTCTCTATGTGGACCTAGTAACATTACTTCTCTATGCGGACCTAGTAACATTACTTCTCTATGTGGAACTAGTAACATTACTTATTCTCTATGTGGACCTAACATTACTTCTCTATGTGGACCTAGTAACATGACTTCTCTATGTGGACCTAACATTACTTCTCTATGTGGACCTAACATTACTTCTCTATGTGGACCTAGTAACATTACTTCTCTATGTGAACCTAGTAACATTACTTCTCTATGTAGACCTAACATTACTTCTCAATGTGGACCTAACATTACTTATCTATGTGACCTAATAACATTACTTCTCTATGTGGCCCTAGTAACATTACTTCTCTATGTGGACCTAACATTACTTCTCTATGTGGACCTAGTAACATTACTTCTCTATGTGGACCTAGTAGCATTACTTCTCTATGTGGACCTAGTAACATTACTTCTCTATGTGGACCTAACATTACTTCTCTATGTGGACCTAGTAACATTACTTCTCTATGTGGATCTAGTAACATTAGTTCTCTCTGCGGACCTAGTAACATTACTTCTCTATGTGGACCTAGTAGCATTACTTCTCTATGTGGACCTAGTAACATTACTTCTCTATGTGGACCTAGTAACATTACTTCTCTATGTGGACCTAGTAACATTACTTCTCTATGTGGACCTAGTAACATTACTTCTCTATGTGGACCTAGTAACATTACTTCTTTATGTGTACCTAACATTACTTCTCTATGTGGACCTAGTAACATTACTTCTCTATGTGGACCTAACATTACTTCTCTATGTGGACCTAACATTACTTCTCTATGTGGACCTAGTAACATTACTTCTCTATGTGGACATAACATTACTTCTCTATGTGGACATAACATTACTTCTCTATGTGGACCTAGTAACATTACTTCTCTATGTGGACATAACATTACTTCTCTATGTGGACCTAGTAACATTACTTCTCTATGTGGACCTAACATTACTTCTCTCTGCTGACCTAACATTACATCTTTATGTGGACCTAACATTACTTCTCTATGTGGACCTAACATTACTTATCTATGTGGACCTAGTAACATTACTTATTCTCTATGTGGACCTAACATTACTTCTCTATGTGGACCTAGTAACATTACTTCTCTATGTGGGCATAACATTACTTCTCTATGTGGACCTAGTAACATTACTTCTCTATGTGGACCTAACATTACTTCTCTATGTGGACCTAGTAACATTACTTCTCTGTGGACCTAACATTGCTTCTCTATGTGGACCTAACATTACTTCTCTCTGCTGACCTAACATTACATCTTTATGTGGACCTAACATTACTTCTCTATGTGGACCTAACATTACATCTCTCTGCTGACCTAACATTACTTCTCTATGTGGAACTAAGATTACTTCTCTCTGCTGACCTAAAATTACTTCTCTATGTGGAACTGACATTACTTCTCCCTGCTGACCTAACATTACTTCCCTGTCTCTGCAGACCTAACATTACTTCTCTATGTGGAACTAACATTACTTCTCTCTGCTGACCTAACATTACTTTTCTCTGCTGACCCAACATTACTTCTCTTTGCTGACCTAACATTACATCTATATGTGGTCCTTATATTACTTCTCTAGGCTTACCTCACATAATTCAATATCTAAACCAACTGGCATATGATAATTATATTTTATAGGGATTCAAATTCTTTATTAAAAAAAGAAAAAACACAATACAAATAGTTCACATGGGCCACTCCAAGACCATCAAATAGTTTATGTGGGCCACTCCAAGATCATCAAATAGTTTATGTGGGCCACTCCAAGATCATCAAATAGTTCATGTGGGCCACTCCAAGATCATCAAATAGTTCATGTGGGCCACTCCAAGATCATCAAATAGTTCATGTGGGCCACTCCAAGATCATCAAATAGTTACACTCCAAAATCAGCCAATAGTTCATGTGGGCTACTTCAACATCAGCCAATTGTTCATGTGGGCCACGCCAAGATGAGCCAATAGTTCACATGGGTCACTCCAAGATCATCAAATAGTTCATGTGGGCCACTCCAAGATCATCAAATAGTTCATGTGGGCCACTCCAAGATCATCAAATAGTTCATAAGGGCCACTCCAAAATCAGCCAATAGTTCATGTGGGCTACTTCAGCATCAGCCAAATCTTCATGTGGGCCACGCCAAGATGAGCCAATAGTTCACATGGACCACTCCAAGATCATCAAATAGTTCATGTGGGCCACTCCAAAATCAGCCAATAGTTCATGTGGGCTACTTCAGCGTCAGCCAAATGTTCATGTGGGCCACGCCAAGATGAGCCAATAGTTCATGTGGGCCACGCCAAGATGAGCCAATAGTTCATGTGGGCCACTTCAACATCAGCCAAATGTTCATGTGGGCCACGCCAAGATGAGCCAATAGTTCACATGGGCCACTCCATTATCAGCCAATAGTTCACATGGCCCACTCCAAGATCAGCCAATAGTTCACATGGCCCACTCCAAGATCAACCAATAGTTGACATGGCCCACTCCATTATCAGCCAATAGTTCACATGGCCCACTCCAAGATCAACCAATAGTATCAGCTTTAAATCATCCTATAACTGTGACAAAACAATGTACATGTTCTTGAACATACAGCTGTCATGAAGAGTAATGCAAACAAATTGTGAGATTTATAAATGAACTAGATTTATTGAACAGACCAGTTGTCAATGAGAGAATTACAAACACATTGCAATATTTATGATTGAAGTTTTACAAAAAATATGCCCGTTGAAAGTTTTGAAACTGATGAAAAACTGAACATGTATCAATGATGAAGATATTTACCAATGAGTTTTATTGATTGAACAGACCAGTCTTCACTGAGAGTTTAACAAATACATAATGCAATTTATATTGAAGTCAGAGTAAATTGTAATCACTAAAGAAATGACAGCTCATTGCTCAAATTAGGTAATAAAACACAGTAAACAATTGCAATAGCACCGTCAAGTATTCAATCTTGTCATCTTACAACTAGAGTTCAGGCTGTTTACTAGTGTTGTTTAATAAAACAAATGCGACATAGTCACCTATCACATCCATTATGTTACTAAAACAAATAGGACATGGTCACCTATCACATCCATTATGTTACTAAAACAAATAGGACATAGTCACCTATCACATCCATTATATTACTAAAACAAATAGGACATAGTCACCTATCACATACATTTTGTTAAAAAAATTTGATGTGCCAAAATACAATGTAATCCAATTGCATTTATTTCTATTGACCGCAGGACTTGCTTCTATTTCAATACATAAATCTAAACATGTTTTGAATGCAATATATTTAGTACAGTGCAAAGATTTCCTTGTGAACATCATCCAAGCCAACTATGTTGTTGGCCCGAGAGATTTCAAGAAAAGTGAAATAAGTTAGCAACATTTGCTGATTTTTACAAAAAAAAAAATTTCTAAAACTTCGCATATTTTAAATAAAACCTCTGAATGTAGTAGTAGTAGTTAATTTAACTACAAATAATTGAATTATTTTATAATGTAGAGAACATTCATTTTACAATGCCAAACAGTTTTGAGTATATTTCAAAGAAATGGACTTTAGGATAATACAAATTATTTTGACACAGGAGATAGACTATTAATGGATGTGATATTGGATGCCCCCAGCAGTCATTTATGTCTGAGGAGATCTGCCTGGGAGTCCTGGCTCTGAAAGTTACAAGGTGTGGACAGTCATCAAAGGAAAAATAGCATGGTCAATCTTTATGTACCTCAATTATTTGGTGCAAAACAGAACAGTTAAAAATGACTGTATTGTTTCAGAAGATATGCAAAAATATACATTTATAACTATTTTCATGTTCTTCTCTCTACAAAACAATATGAACCAGTACCAGGACAACAGAAACCTTATTAGCCAATAGTGTACAAGTACAATGGAAACATTATGTACCAGTGGTGTACAAGTACAACAGAAACCTTATTAACCAATATTGTAAAAGTACAACAGAAACAATATGTACCAGTAGTGTACAAGTACAATGGAAACATTATGTACCACTAGTGTACAAGTACAACAGAAACATTATGTACCAGTAGTATAGAACTGAAAAATTATTAAAATGTCCCATGCTGCAAGAGAGCAACAATGAAATATTACTTGTCATAAAGGACCCCATGGAATACTTAGACGATAGAACAGTATGGACAGGAAGAGATCGGGGGAGGGGGTGTTGACACAGCTGGAGTGAGTGCCTTATTCGGCTGGAGTCAGTGCCTTATTCGGCTGGAGTCAGTGCCTTGTGATGATGAATGAGATGTAGCGAGTGCCTTGTGATGTTGAATGAGATGGAGCGATTGCCTTATTCAGCTTGAGTGAGTGTCTTGGGATGTTAAATCAGATGTAGGGAGTGCCTTATTTAGCTGGAATGAGTGCCTTATTTAGCTGGAGTGCCTTGAGATGTTGAATCAGCTCAAGTGAGTGCCTAGTGATGTTGAATCAGATTAAGTGAGTGCCTGGTGATGTTGAATCTGTAACACTATAGTTGACTAATATTTCGCATAATAATAATAGATAATCTATAGTTGAATAGTTTAGAGGAATTAATATGTTCTATCCTTGACTTGTTAAGACAGAAAATGATGTCCTTGTGGTATGACTTAAATCAACATAGGGTGGACAACCCTTTCATTGTGATACAGTAATGTTTTCACATTGAATCTATTGAAAGCAATGGCTGACCAGATACATTAGGAATACCCACCAGTCTGTTTGGTGGACCTTGGCCTCGGGCCCTGAGGTTTGTTGACCACATAATGAAAATAAACTTTATGAGTCTAAAGTCCATGCTCCACCTTGAGATGTCAACATGTTCATGTGACCCCCATCAATGGGAGATAATTAATAACAAAGCAAGCTATTAGTTCATGATGAACACACAAGGCAGAACAGAGAGCAGTATGGCAATGTTGAAGTGTAATCCTCACAAATGTGGTGGGTAATAAAGTTAGCAGTTTAAAATCTGGGGTCTGGTGAGGAATATTTTACATGTTGCTTGCATCAAAGGAAGATTGATTTTGTGCCAAGAAGTTTTGATTAAGATTTGATTCTTAGCATTTCATTCATCAACACATCAACACCTCTGTTCCTGCGATTGTAGAAAACAAAAGTCACATGACGAAAGTCACATGACGAAAGTCACATGACAAAAGTCACATGACAAAAGTCACATGACAAAAGTCACATGACAAAAGTCACATGACAAAAGTCACATGACAAAAGTCACATGACAAAAGTCACATGACAAAAGTCACATGACAAAAGTCACATGACAAAAGTCACATGACAAAAGTCACAGTAAACTTTTTATTAACTTTAATTTTATTTATAAGTCCATATAAATGTTTATGATAGAATAAATATCAGTAAATAGAACCAAAATTCACAGGAAGAAAAGTGATAGGAAGAAAACAAAATAAGAAAATCAGACGCATTAACACACATATAAATATGTATTGATGAGTATCACATTAATTAATTAATAGATAAGTCTGAAGGTAAAACTTGGTAAAAATAATTATTTTGAATTCTTTTTATGAAGACAGTCGGAGGAGCACACCTTAAATTCTGACAAGATTGGGGACCAAATGAATTTTTATTTCTTTTGGTCCATCGCCATATTAACAACAACGAGGCCATTGATGCTTTGGTAGGATAGTGTTATCACTAAACTAGTTCTACAATGCAATTAACCTCGCTTTCCTTTAATTCCTTTACTATATGAGATGTGCCGGGAAGATGAGAGGTGAGAATGAAATGACAATCCTTTTGAGCAAGAGCATAATCTCTGCCCAATCTCTTAGTACCATTTAGTGTTATTCAATCTGTAATATTTGTGATTATTGGCTTCATGCATAGCAATGTACATAGACTTAAATGTGTGATTTTAATATGGATACATAACGCAAATAACACACACATATATAATCCCAAGCAAGAATCATACCACATTTCTAATGAGCCGTCTTGTACTTCAATCTAATTATATTTAGTCTATAATAAACATTTTTATATGGACTTACACATAAATTTATGACTAATAAAAAGTTTTTCTGTGACTTCTTTTTCCGCTTGAGTGCCTGCCTCATGACTCAGACAGTTAAAGCCATACATTCAATGATAAAATGATGTTCTACTCTGTTTGAAAGGGTGTGGATATTGTTAATCAAAATGTGAGTTTTATATTTAAATTCAAGTTAGTGTAAAATGTATAATTCCATGGCATACTATGTGTGGTCTTTTAGTTTATGTTAACATATAGTCTTGCAAAAATCAAAAGTTTCAACACCTCCAGCACATACGCTAGCGGACTCATTCCTTTGTGACAGTGATATGGGAAATCTTTTCATCATGGATGTATCCATCAAATATATCAACTAAATGTTTACATAATCTAAGTTTACTTTAACTTTTGATCACTGTTGCACTGAGATAATCATGAGCTTATTTTGGCCACTGATCTTTCCACAGAGAAGTCATATGTGTACTGAAAGGAAATAGGTATAGGTCAATAATAAACAAGGTGTCTTAAAAATGTAGATAAAAATATTATAGGTCAATAATAAACAAGGTGTCTTAAAAATGTAGATAAAAATATGTATAGGTCAATAATGAAATGTGTAACTTCAAAGTATAATAAATACATACAAACAAATAAGAAATATGTGGAAATCATGAAACGCTCATACAAATAAAGTGTTAAAAATGATGTAGGTGTTTAATGTGATAGCTTGAATTAGTCTAATGTGTGTGTTGTTATAAATAGGAAATGTTGCTAAGAGCTGTGCTGGGGTATTTTTACATATGTTGACAAGGACTATGTGACAAGGACTATGTGACACGGACTATGTGACAAGGACTATGTGACAAGGACTATGTGACAAGGACTATGTGACAAGGACTATGTGACAAGGACTATGTGACAAGGACTATGTGACTAGAACTATGAGACAAGAACTAAATCACACTTTTAAAAAAAAGTTAAACTAATCAATAGATCAGATCTAGATATACCATGGGGATATCTTGTCAACAGATCAGATCTAGATATTGAGTATCATGGGGATAACTTATTAGTAGATAAGAGAGATAATCATATGACCTCTCCCCAATCAATGTGCTTCTCCTCAATAATAGAACTTCTCAATTAATTATTTTATCCGCAATCATAGCGATTATCCTCAATCGTAGAGCTTCTCAATCAAATAGCCTCTCAACACTCATACAGCCTCTCCTCAATCATAGAGCCTTTTTTCAATCATAGACTCTCTCCTCATTGTGTTACCATGACTACAGCTTCATGCTACATTGTGACTTCCCACTACATTGTGACTTCCCACTACATTGTGACTGCCCGCTACATTGTGACTTCCCACTACATTGTGACTTCCCACTACATTGTGACTGCCCACTACATTGTGACTTCCCACTACATTGTGACTGCCCACTACATTGTGACTGCCCACTACATTGTGACTTCCCACTACATTGTGACTTCCCACTACATTGTGACTGCCCACTACATTGTGACTTCCCACTACATTTTGACTTCCCACTACACTGTGACATTCTTAGTATAAGTATTTTTAAAATCTATCCAAAGCTTCATTGGCAGTCAAATCCTGTGTAGATATATGGACAAAAATAAATGCACAACTTTAATATGTTGCTAAGCAACCACTAACCTGTCTCTCTAAGTCAACTAATGATTTCTCTGGTACAACTGGAATATTGACCTGTCAAGGGAATTGAAAAGTGAGCACGGTGTAAGTAAAGTATTAAGGGAAAAAAACAACAGCAAAAATAACAGGAATCAAATAGAGTTGTACATCAAGCTTTACAAATAGTTGTCATTGACTTGGTCAGGCAGGTTTTGTGTGGCTTCAACAACCTGTTTTGTGTGGCTTCTACAACCTGTTTTGTGTGGCTTCAACAACCTGTTTTGTGTGGTTTCAACAACCTGTTTTGTGTGGCTTCAACAACCTGTTTTGTGTGGTTTCAACAACCTGTTTTGTGTGGCTTCAACAACCTGTTTTGTGTGGCTTCAACAACCTGTTTTGTGTGGTTTCAACAACCTGTTTTGTGTGGTTTCAACAACCTGTTTTGTGTGGCTTCAACAACATCTTTTGTGTGGCTTCAACAACCTGTTTTGTGTGGCTTCAACAACCTGTTTTGTGTGGCTTCAACAACATCTTTTGTGTGGCTTCAACAACCTGTTTTGTGTGGCTTCAACAACCTGTTTTGTGTGGCTTCAACAACCTGTTTTGTGTGGCTTCAACAACCTGTTTTGTGTGGCTTCAACAACCTGTTTTGTGTGGCTTCAACAACCTGTTTTGTGTGGCTTCAACAACCTGTTTTGTGTGGCTTCAACAACCTGTTTTGTGTGGCTTCAACAACCTGTTTTGTGTGGCTTCAACAACCTGTTTTGTGTGGCTTCAACAACCTGTTTTGTGTGGCTTCAACAACCTGTTTTGTGTGGCTTCAACAACCTGTTTTGTGTGGCTTCAACAACCTGTTTTGTGTGGCTTCAACAACCTGTTTTGTGTGGCTTCAACAACATGTTTTTTGTGGCTTCAACAATAGGTTTACACACTACCCACGATACACACTAATGACATTTATACTTAAAATAGATTTACACATTACCCACGATACACACTAATGACATTCATACTTACAATAGGTTTACACACTACCCACAATACACACTAATGACATTCATACTTAAAATAGGTTTACACACTACCCACGAAACACACTAATGACATTCATACTTACAATAGGTTTACACACTACCCACGATACACACTAATGACATTCATACTTAAAATAGGTTTACACACTTACAATAACAATACGCAGTATCAGATTTACAACTTACCTTTTGAAGATCTAAAATCATTTTGTACTTTTGATTCATCTTCCACTCAATACCTGAAATTGCTGAAATGAGATGAAATAATGCAACATGAAATATTACATGAATTTGAAAAATTGAAGACAAATTACTTTTCAGTGTTTACCAATTTTGGACTAGACTAATTCTTAGAATACACAAGCTACTTCTGTAACATAAGCTACTTTATGACATCAGTAATACAAGCTACTTTATGACATCAGTAATACAAGCTACTTTATGACATCAGTAATACAAGCTACTTTATGACATCAGTAATACAAGCTACTTTATGACATCAGTAATACAAGCTACTTTCTGACATCAGTTATACAAGCTACTTTCTGACATCAGTAATACAAGCTACTTCATGACATCAGTATTACAAGCTACTTCATGACATCAGTATTACAAGCTACTTTCTGACATTAGTAACACAAGCTACTTCATGAAATCAGTAATATAAGCTACTCTCTGACATCAGTAATTCAAGCTACTTTCTGACATCAGTAATACAAGCTACTTTCTGACATCAATAACAACAAGCTACTTCAGTAACATAAGCTACTTCAAGACATCAGTAATATAAGATACTTCATGACATCAGTAATATAAGCTACTTCATGACATCAGTAATATAAGATACTTCATGACATCAGTAATACAAGCTACTTTCTGACATCAATAACAACAAGCTACTTCAGTAACATAAGCTACTTCATGACATCAGTAATATAAGCTACTTCATGACATCAGTAATATAAGCTACTTCATGACATCAGTAATATAAGCTACTTTATGACATCAGTAATATAAGCTACTTCATGACATCAGTAATATAAGATACTTCATGACATCAGTAATATAAGCTACTTCATGACATCAGTAATATAAGATACTTCATGACATCAGTAATATAAGCTACTTCATGACATCAGTAATATAAGATACTTCATGACATCAGTAATATAAGCTACTTCATGACATCAGTAATATAAGATACTTCATGACATCAGTAATATAAGCTACTTCATGACATCAGTAATATAAGCTACTTCATGACATCAGTAATATAAGCTACTTCATGACATCAGTAATATAAGATACTTCATGACATCAGTAATATAAGCTACTTCATTACATCAGTAATATAAGCTACTTCATGACATCAGTAATATAAGATACTTCATGACATCAGTAATATAAGATACTTCATGACATCAGTAATATAAGATACTTAATGACATCAGTAATACAAGCTACTTTCTGACATCAATAACAACAAGCTACTTCAGTAACATAAGCTACTTCATGACATCAGTAATATAAGCTACTTCATGACATCAGTAATATAAGCTACTTCATGACATCAGTAATATAAGCTACTTTATGACATCAGTAATATAAGCTACTTCATGACATCAGTAATATAAGATACTTCATGACATCAGTAATATAAGCTACTTCATGACATCAGTAATAAAAGATACTTCATGACATCAGTAATATAAGCTACTTCATGACATCAGTAATATAAGATACTTCATGACATCAGTAATATAAGATGCTTCATGACATCAGTAATATAAGCTACTTCATGACATCAGTAATATAAGATACTTCATGACATCAGTAATATAAGATACTTCATGACATCAGTAATATAAGATACTTCATGACATCAGTAATACAAGCTACTTTCTGACATCAGTTATACAAGCTACTTTCTGACATCAGTAATACAAGCTACTTCATGACATCAGTAATATAAGATACTTCATGACATCAGTAATATAAGCTACTTCCTGACATCAGTAATATAAGATACTTCATGACATCAGTAATATAAGCTACTTCATGACATCAGTAATATAAGATACTTCATGACATCAGTAATATAAGCTACTTCATGACATCAGTAATATAAGATACTTCATGACATCAGTAATATAAGATACTTCACGACATCAGTAATATAAGCTACTTCATGACATTGGTAATATAAGATACTTCATGACATCAGTAATATAAGATACTTCATGACATCAGTAATATAAGCTACTTCATGACATCAGTAATATAAGATACTTCATGACATCATTAATATAAGATACTTCATGACATCAGTAATATAAGATACTTCATGACATCAGTAATATAAGCTGCTTCATGACATCAGTAATATAAGATACTTCATGACATCAGTAATATAAGATACTTCATGACATCAGTAATATAAGATACTTCATGACATCAGTAATATAAGATACTTCATGACATCAGTAATATAAGATACTTCATGACATCAGTAATATAAGATACTTCATGACATCAGTAATATAAGATACTTCATGACATCAGTAATATAAGATACTTCATGACATCAGTAATAAAAGCTACTTCATGACATCAGTAATATAAGATACTTCATGACATCAGTAATATAAGCTACTTCATGACATCAGTAATATAAGATACTTCATGACATCAGTAATATAAGATACTTCATGACATCAGTAATATAAGATACTTAATGACATCAGTAACATAAGATACTTCATGACATCAGTAATATAAGATACTTCATGATATCTGTAACTTTATATTTCAAGTTTTGTTTTTTTCTCCAAGTAAGTTCAATGAATTTGATATTGCTAAGTTATCATTCTTAACAGTCAAATATTTGAGCATGACATCACTGTTAACAGAAGACATTTTGAGTCACTCACATCATCATCATAATAATACGTAAGTTAATTTGAAAATCACGCTTCATCCCCAAAGGCTCGAAGTGCACTAAATCATATCGATGGATTTACAGTCTCCGAGATTTAAACAACACCTTTGTCAATGAACCTTGAAAGAGAATAAACTCAGTGAGACAGGTACCCCCTTCCTCGATCAAGACACTAGAAGAAATACGCTTTATCTCATGGCATGGCAAAGCTCCAATTGTAGAATCCATTCCAGCTGAATTCTACAAAGAAGGGGCTGCAGTTCGGCAAGGCCCCACCATCTGTTCCTACTAATGTGGTAGCTATTGATGTTCCTGCAGGATTTCAGAGATACCGCTATCGTTCACTGAGCTCTGCTGTTCTTAAATCTAATCCTATTCAGCTGATGAGATCTCACAGAACTGGGTGATGTGGTCATATTTCTTTATCCGTGGTACACTGGTTGATTGTTACGAGTGAAAAGCTTAGCTACTAAACAATATCCAACTATCCAGAAATAACAAATTTGAGAGAAACATTTCAAAATGTGGAGAGATTTCATTGCTTCTTGTTCAAGCGACTCATGAAACGGAAGTTTTTGTTAATAGCGTTGACTGTTTTTGTTTATATTAATTAATATATAGAATGGAAAACACAGAATAAGTTCAACAAATCTTAATTATGTTCAAAATAAATTATATTCATACGTTAAGGAGACTTTCAGATGCGACTATATCCTACTATCAGGAATAAAACCTGAAAGAAACATTCCAAAAATGAGAAAATGTAGAGCCATTTCACTGCTGCCTGTCGTGAACCGGAACTTCCCAGGCTCTTAATGAGAAGATTAATTGACCATATAAAAGTTTAGATAAGTAGAGTAAGAAGCATGACAAGGAGAAACTAATCTATCATTGACTAATAACCCAGTGATAGGATAGTCAGACTAATCAGGTCAGTGTGACATCTTCTTTCTACTCCTCTTTACTTTGTTTTTGTCTGGTTTTAGCGCCCTCTCCTATATTTTTTCTGTTTTAGGTAGGATATGTATATTAATATTATGTAAATTTAATTTATACTTACTTAAACGTGTTTTGTTTGTTTGTACTGATGAAGGCACGTGCTGAGACGTTTACTTGTGTATAATGTATAATTATTATTAAAGCGGAACTTATATTGTTCTATTGACACAATTTGTTCGTGTTGTATTAATCCTCTTAATATGGCAGTGGAAGAAAGTGCAATCCCTAAGCTAACAAAAATTATGTCCGAAATAGTTTCTGAACTAAAAACATCCAATAAGGCCACAAACAAGGAAGTCTCTGCCTTGATAAAAAACTAGTGTTTTCTAGTTCACACAGTGTTTTTTAGTTCACCCAGTATTTTATATTTCACCCAGAGTTTTCTAGTTCATAACACTGGCCAACAGACTAATCAAAACATATTCTCCCTATATGCATCTAAAACAAAATTAAAGAGAAAGATTAAAAAATCAAAGAGAAAGTCACCACTTAATGTCTTGAGCGTTTACACAAACTTGTGAACTAACAAATGTGAACAAACTTACGATTAACATGACTGGTAGCTAGGTTGTTGGAAGACTGTTCAGGTGGCCCCGTCCTGGTGGCAGTTCCATATCCTGTCATCAATGGTCTAACCGGCACGGGTGGTTTGGAAGAGTAAGGCAAACTGGAGGCTACCGCAGCAGGGCTGGACATTGTAGAATACAAGAACAGTTATTTGACATTGTTTAAATAGCCAGCTTTTCATCAATGATATCTTCTCTTTTGGATCAGTTGACATTTGATTACGTTGCACAGCTTCTGTTGAAACAAACAATTCATCCAGAGTTAAAGAAGGCTCTGGATTTGTAAAGATGTATTGTCTTACAGTGACATGTACCTTCATATTGTAGAGCTGTCATGGTTCACAGAAGCATGTATTTACATTTTTAAAAGCTGTGTTGGTTTACATATAAAAATATCGACATATTTTAAAAATGTGCGGTCACAGTTATTGTACCGGTACGTTTATATCCTAAAGATGTATTGGTTTAGATCTACAAGTACCTACATAGTGTAAAGCTGTGTTGGTTTGGAGTAGCTCGGAGGATCTTGAACAGCCGGCTGTATTTGTGGCAGGCGACCCATTTTGTAGCAGATGCCCATATTGTTTATGTCACTGAAGATTTTGAAAGAATTTATTTAAAAACTCCACCTGTGGCGTCCTTCCAACCAACTACTGCATGTCCCAAGTTAGGAAAAGAGAGGAAGGCATGGCATGACCCAACCCATCACATTGACACACATCAGCTACAAACCCATCACAGTAACGCCAATCAGCTACCAACCCATCAAATTGACACACATCAGCTACCAACCCATCACATTGACACACATCAGCTACCAACCCATCACATTGACACCAATCAGCTACCAACCCATCACATTGACACACATCAGCTAAAACCCATCACATTAACACATATTAGCTACCACCCATCACATTACACCCATAAGCTACCAACCCATCAATTAAATCAGATGAGAAAAGATGTTACAACATTTTATCATACGCCTCGTAGCCAAAATTAACATTATTAGCAAGAAACTGTGTCCACTATAGACTAGACTGTGTCCACTATAGACTAGACTGTGTCCACTATAGACTAGACTGTGTCCACTATAGACTAGACTGTGTCCACTATAGACTAGTCTCTTGCTTTTCCCCTTAGAATTAGACTTGTTTTGATTTCTGGTGCAAATTGTAAGTACCTGTAATCTGTCATCCCTAACCTTGGTTCTTAGTGAGTACCTGTTATCTGTCATCACTAACCTTGGTCTTAGTGAGTACCTGTTATCTGTTATCACTAACCTTGGTCTTAGTGAGTATCTGTTATCTGTCATCACTAACCTTGGTCTAAGTGAGTACCTGTAATCTGTCATCAATAACCTTGGTCTTAGTGAGTACCTGTTATCTGTCATCCCTAACCTTGGTCTTAGTAAGTACCTGTAATCTGTCATCACTAACCTTGGTCTTAGGGGGTACCTGTTATCTGTCATCCCTAACCTTGGTCTTAGTGAGTACCTGTAATCTGTCATCACTAACCTTGGTCTTAGTGAGTACCTGTTATCTGTCATCACTAACCTTGGTCTTAGTGAGTACCTGTAATCTGTCATCACTAACCTTGGTCTTAGTGAGTACCTGTTATCTGTCATCACTAACCTTGGTCTTAGTGAGTACCTGTTATCTGTCATCCCTAACCTTGGTCTTAGTGAGTACCTGTTATCTGTCATCCCTAACCTTGGTCTTAGTGAGTACCTGTTATCTGTCATCCCTAACCTTGGTCTTAGTGAGTACCTGTTGTCTGTCATCATTAACCCTGGTCTTAGTGAGTACCTGTAATCTGTCATCACTAATCTTGGTCTTAGTGAGTACCTGTAATCTGTCATCACTAACCTTGGTCTTAGCGAGTACCTGTTATCTGTCATCACTAACCTTGGTCTTAGTGAGTACCTGTTATCTGTCATCACTAACGTTGGTCTTAGTGAGTACCTGTAATCTGTCATCACTAACCTTGGTCTTAGTGAGTACCTGTAATCTGTCATCACTAACCTTGGTCTTAGTGAGTACCTGTTATCTGTCATCCTTAACCTTGGTCTTAGTGAGTACCTGTTATCTGTCATCCCTAACCTTGGTCTTAGTGAGTACCTGTTATCTGTCATCCCTAACCTTGGTCTTAGTGAGTACCTGTTATCTGTCATCACTAACCCTGGTCTTAGGAAGTACCTGTTATCTGTCATCACTAACCCTGGTCTTAGTGAGTACCTGTAATCTGTCATCACTAACCCTGGTCTTAGTGAGTACCTGTTATCTGTCATCCCTAACCTTGGTCTTAGTGAGTACCTGTTATCTGTCATCACTAACCTTGGTCTTAGTGAGTACCTGTAACCTTGGTCTTAGTGAGTACCTGTAATCTGTCATCAATAACCTTGGTCTTAGTGAGTACCTGTAATCTGTCATCACTAACCCTGGTCTTAGTGAGTACCTGTAATCTGTCATCAATAACCTTGGTCTTAGTGAGTACCTGTAATCTGTCATCAATAACCTTGGTCTTAGTGAGTAACTGTTATCTGTCATCCCTAACCTTGGTCTTAGTGAGTACCTGTTGTCTGTCATCCCTAACCTTGGTCTTAGTGAGTACCTGTTATCTGTCATCACTAACCCTGGTCTTAGGAAGTACCTGTTATCTGTCATCACTAACCCTGGTCTTAGTGAGTACCTATAATCTGTCATCAATAACCTTGGTCTTAGTGAGTACCTGTAATCTGTCATCACTAACCCTTGTCTTAGTGAGTACCTGTAATCTGTCATCAATAACCTGGTCTTAGTGAGTACCTGTAATCTGTCATCAATAACCTTGGTCTTAGTGAGTACCTGTTATCTGTCATCCCTAACCTTGGTCTTAGTGAGTACCTGTTATCTGTCATCCCTAACCTTGGTCTTAGTGAGTACCTGTTATCTGTCATCACTAACCCTGGTCTTAGGAAGTACCTGTTATCTGTCATCACTAACCCTGCTCTTAGTGAGTACCTGTAATCTGTCATCACTAACCCTGGTCTTAGTGAGTACCTGTTATCTGTCATCCCAAACCTTGGTCTTAGTGAGTATCTGTAATCTGTCATCACTAGCCCTGCTAACAATTTACATGTAATCTGTCATCACTAACCCTGGTAACAATTTACCTGTAATCTGTCATCACTAACCCTGGTAACAATTTACCTGTAATCTGTCATCACTAACCCTGGTAACAATTTACCTGTAATCTGTCATCCCTAACCCTTATACCGCTGTAAGCACTTGTTATTTGTAATAACTTAACATGGTACTAGTGTTACTGTAATCCAGGGGTCTCAAACTTGCGGCCCGCTGGCCATTTGCGGCCCGATAGACGATATTTTGCGGCCCAGTACATGACAGCAAAGTTTAGTGTTATTGCGGCCCGCGCGTTTTCCCCATTCACCCATTGTGACCCTCTGCGACGGTTTCAGTCGAATGAATCCCACCGTCTAGTCTAATCCTTATTATGTTTGTTTAGGATTGGACGTTGATTATAATGGTAAGAACCGTTTTAAAATTGGACTATAAGGTTTCTTTATAGCATTTTATAAGACAAACATTACCAAAGTGCTGTTTTGAGAAAAGTTTAAAAAGTCAGTTAATAATAATAATAATAAAGTGTATTTCAAAAACATGCTTCATCCCCAAAGGCTCGAAGCGCGTGTCACAGAATATGGCTCCGGTCCTGACATACAACAAACTATATTAATTTAGTTGTCTTTCGTAAAGGACCGCTCCTCTCTGTGAATATATTGTGGGTGTCTAGGCGCTGGGACAGACAGAAGCACAACGTAAACTTTAGTGAAATCCAAACAACTCAACTCTAAGTGTCCAGATGATATAATGTATTCATTTCTTGATGTAACAACAATTAAAGCTAAGTCTATCGAAGAAAATATAACCTTTTCAAACACATGTAATATCCCCTCTCTCTCTCTTCCCGGAAGTGCCCCCAACCGCTCATTCAATACCCAGCTAACGTGATGCGGCCCATGGGGAAAACCCAAACAAAACAGCATCATTACGCACTGATAACTACTAGGCTCTGTCCTACACCCCCACCCGAGGCATTTGTGACATATGTCCCCCCTTCAAGAAATTTTTAAATACATTGACAAATTTCAAAAACTCCACAAATGACCAACCTATATTTCTATACATAACACTGGGTCCAGCTCTTACTCTATCATACTCTATGCTTCGCTAATTCTATTGTCACCTATTCTCATCTTCACTTTTTCAATCAAAATTTAAAAAAAATAGCAACACAAAAAAATCATGCTTATGTCAATAATAAACAACAAAATGAATCATCGTCTACAACAGCGTGAACATTGCACCTTCAAAATCTAAACAAAAAAAATCGTATCTAAACATTTTGATTGATCAATTAAATCTATTAATCACAGAACACTGTTGGTACTCTGTCATAATCAGAGACCACAGAACACTGTTGGTACTCTGTCATAATCAGAGACCACAGAACACTGTTGGTACTCTGTCATAATCAGAGACCACAGAACACTGTTGGTACTCTGTCATAATCAGAGACCACAGAACACTGTTGGTACTCTGTCATAATCAGAGACCACAGAACACTGTTGGTACTCTGTCATAATCAGAGACCACAGAACACTGTTGGTACTCTGTCATAATCAGAGACCACAGAACACTGTTGGTACTCTGTCATAATCAGAGACCACAGAACACTGTTGGTACTCTGTCATAATCAGAGACCACAGAACACTGTTGGTACTCTGTCATAATCAGAGACCACAGAACACTGTTGGTACTCTGTCATAATCAGAGACCACAGAACACTGTTGGTACTCTGTCATAATCAGAGACCACAGAACACTGTTGGTACTCTGTCATAATCAGAGACCACAATTATCCTTAGGGACTATTGGACAATATCTTTCTTTGTTACACCCTGAAAATCACCATATTTATTTATTTATTTATTTAGGCATTTTTATATAGCGCTTATCATAAAGCTCTAAGCGCTTTACAATTATTAAAACAAGTAAACTAAGTAAATACAAATGAGACACTAGGATAGTAACTACTATTCTATAGAAACAATGAAAATGGCTATAAAAAGAGGACACTTTGACACTTCTGGATTAAACGTTTATATCCTAAAGATGTATTGGTTTAGATCTACAAGTACCTACATAGTGTAAAGCTGTGTTGGTTTGGAGTAGCTCGGAGGATCATCAGAATATATGTGTCTAGCACGAGAACTTAGACTAACGTCATACTATCAACTAGACCTATCCCTTAAGTCTTAATCACCTTCACTGATTCCACGATCCACTAATCAGGTTTAATGATACCCATTTCTACCTCCCATGCATAGTGTATATTATAGCTGTCCTACCCATGCTACCCCACACATTAGCCAGTGTGGGAAATAGCCGACCTAACCATGCTGTCCTACACGTTACCCAGTGTAGGCTATAGCTGACCACCTCATGCTACTCTACACATTACTCATTGCAGGATGTAGCGGTCATCCCACGCTATTCTACACATCATGTACTGTAGGTTTACCATTCAACTTACGCTATAACACAAATAACTCTCCCTTTGGTGCTGTCTAACACCATCACTAAGTGCAGACTAGTGATACATCCAATAATATCAAATTATCAAACACAACAATACTAATAACACATTATCTTTGACACTCTAAACATCGTCTACACCGCAGCCCATCATGTGCCTTGCACGGTCTGGAGTAGATGAGTACAGTTGATGTCCCTAACAACATACCTGTTATTATGTCATTAATAACCAACACAATTGAAGCATAATAAGCCCACGTACACTGTCTCCTTCAATGTTCAATGCCCTGTTCAAGCAAAACCCTTCACTGCCAATCTGGCTTCTTAACAATAGCACAGGGCTGCGACCGCATATGTGATTCATTTAATATGTATAACACAACCCAACAAGTGTTAAAAACACATGATTATACCCATTACCAGCATTATTTAAACTACACACGTTTTTAAAAAATATGCGTCTAAAATCCAATAAAGATAGCACAACTAAATTAACTAAAGATACTAAAGTCTTAAAAGCATGCCTCATGTCTCTTTCAGGAAGTGTCCTTGATGAAGTGATGGAAATTATTCTCATACTAAACTAAACGTTCTATCTCCGTCTACCTAAGCTACCTCCAAACTGTAATCACTCGCACATAAAAAAATTGAGTCCTAAACTACTTGTCCCACTATGATGTCATAGACAATGTCGGGAATGCACACTACTAGAACCTTTCCAGAAACATACGGAGTACTGATTGTTACTATTGCCTTCTCTCCTGTTAGCCTTGCATCATTCAGCAATACGATCGTGCACCTCTCTCCTGTCAACTTACTGTCATCTACCAAGTCCTTCCTGACCACTATGTCACCACACAGATAATGTCTAAACACTTGAACTCTTTTATCTTCAACTAACCCATAGACACTTTCCTTTACTCCGATGCCATTCGAAATTCCTCCTATAAAAATCTCATCTTCACTATTACTTGTGTTCTCTTCACAGTTCTTGATCACACGTGTCCGATTATTCTTTTTCTTTACTAATAACTTCCCTTTCTTTTCTACACACTTCTTTTCCTGTCCTAATCTGAAACACGTGGATGCCGTTTTCACCTCTCTACAACTAGAATTTCCATCTCCCTTGTCACGGACAATTGGGCAATTCCTTGAGACGTGCCCCTGTTGGTGACACTTATAGCACCGACCCTGAAATCGACACGTCACGGCGGTGTGGCCTGGGCGTAGGCAGGTAAAACAGACACGTTGTCGGTCGCAGTCCCTGGCCAGGTGTCCAGTTGCATAGCAACGAAAACACCGGCGCTCGTTGCAGCAATCTCGTGCCAGATGACCAGTTGAGTAGCATCTGTAGCACCGTCATGCGTTAGTACAGTACCTTGCAATGTGCCCTGTCCGATGGCACCTGTAGCAGAGTGATGCATTACACTGCCTTACTTGATGGTACCCTGCTGGTCTTCTATCCTCCATCTGTCTGCACCGCAATGGCGTCATCTTTCCCAAGCCACCTTCTGTTTGACTTCTGTCCTCTTACTCTATTACGTCAGCCCTGTCTATCTCCTGTTGCCTAGACCCCGGACTGAGCCCCCAGATGTCACAGAACGGTTGTTGCGGAGGATGGCTCCGGTCCTGACATACAACAAACTATATTAATTTAGTTGTCTTTCGTAAAGGACCGCTCCTCTCTGTGATTATATTGTGGTTGTCTAGGCGCTGAGACAGACAGAAGCACAACGTAAACTTTAGTGAAATCCAAACAACTCAACTCTAAGTGTCCAGATGATATATAATGTATTCATTTCTTGGTGTAACAACAATTAAAGCTAAGTCTATCGAAGAAAATATAACCTTTTCAAACACATGTAATATCCTCTTTCTCTCTCTTCCCGGAAGTGCCCCCAACCGCTCATTCAATACCCAGCTAACGTGATGCGGCCCATGGGGAAAACCCAAACAAAACAGCATCATTACGCACTGATAACTACTAGGCTCTGTCCTACACCCCCACCCGAGGCATTTGTGACAGCACGGTACAAGACTAAATAAAAATAAAAAAAATACAAATCTATAATTTACCACATTTAAAACAAACGCAACACTACAAAAACTAATTACAAGCATACAATGGCAAAGTCTTTCAACCTATTTCAACCCTGAGCAACACAGCTAATATGCATTAAATGGAAAATATGGTAGACAATCATCCCAGAAGGTGTTTGCGAAATAAATGTGTCTTTAAATCGGTTTTAAAGAACTCCAGTGTCTGATTGTTTCTGAGATCGACAGGAAGGGCGTTCCAAATTGTTGGACCAACAAATGCGAAAGTACGCTTTCCGTAAGTCTCAAGGCAAACACGTGGTGTCAAGAGTTTGCCACTATCGGATGAGAGGAGTTGTCTAGTGGGTACATAAGGCGTCAGCAGCTCTTTCAGATAGGACGGCGCCAGGTCATGTAAGCAGCGGTAGCACAACGTTGCGATTTTGTACTCTATGCGAGCACGCACCGGCAGCCAATGCAACTCTCTCAGAAGTGTTTTTGCATGGTCGAATTTGCGTTTGCGGAGAACAATGCCAGCCGCATTATTCTGTGCTATTTGAATTTTATCCAGGAGCGTAGCTGGAAGACCCAACATGAGAGGATTGCAATAGTCCATGCGTGATAGCACAAATGCAGACATCAGCCTCTTTGTTGCATCAACTGTTAAGTAGGGCCTGATGTGACTTATCCTGCGCAGCTCTAGAAAAATCGACTTGCATAGCATGTTAATGTGACTTTCCAAGGTTAGTCTCCTGTCTAGGTAGACACCCAGGTACCGCACTGTTTGAGCTAACTCAATACGCACACCTGAGAGAGTAATTGATGTCGTGTTATTTGCAGATTTTTGCTTCCGAGCGGTCGTCATGGGGAGTAGCTCAGTCTTATCATTGTTCAATTTGAGCTTGTTTATGGTCATCCAGAGCTTAACTGATTCCACTGTCTTCTGTGTCATACTGAGCAGCTGAGGGAACTTAGAGGGGATCATGGATTGATGAATTTGAGTGTCGTCTGCGAACATGTGGTATTGCATGTCAAACTGATTGATCTCTGCACCCAGGGGCTGAATGTACTTCGTGAAAAGCACCAAGCCTAGGACCGAGCCCTGGGGTACTCCGAATTCGATAAGATTTCTTCGAAGTCAGGCCGTTTGAAATAACTGACTGGACCCGATTATTCAGATATGATTGGAACCAACTCAGGGCGGTATCAGTTAGACCGAAAGTTGTTTGCAGACGCTGGAGCAGTATGCCGTGATCAAGCGTATCGAAAGCTGCCGATAGATCGAGTAAAGACAAAATCGATACCTGGCCCTCATCACAAGACGACAGAAGGTCGTTTACAACGCGCAACAGGGCTGTCTCAGTAGAGTGATGCGCCCTGTATGCTGACTGGAATGGTTCAAACACGTCAAACTGAGTGAGGTGATCCAGTAGTTGGCGGAGAACGACTTTTCTAAGATTTTGGATATAAATGGTAGATTTGAGATGGGACGATAATTTTCCATCACATTTGGGTCAAGATTTGATTTCTTTAATAGTGGAGTGACGATCGCCTCTTTAAAAGATGATGGAACAATACCAGTAGCTAAGGACTGATTTATGATACAAGTGATGATGGGGACTATTTCATCCAGATATTCATACAAGAGCCCTGCTGGAAGAGGGTCAAGCGAACATGAACAGTTAGTGGGTAACGCACAACCATAATTGTGTAAATCGTAGCCATCTGACACAGTATTAAAGAATCTCTATTAAAATTGCCTCTAGTGTTTACAAGTGAGGGAAATTTCGAGCCTATCAGCTTGGTCACTTTCAAATGGGGTTAGTCAAAAAGGCCTTTTCTACGATAAAAAAAGCAAAATTCATTTTCCCTATCATTGGCATATTCCTTCACAACAATAATTCATAAATATTGCCTGCCACTGCCTACTGTTTGGAAATGTTTTAGCATTGAAAGCCTTCATGAGGAAGGACGGGGTGCTTGTTGACATTACTCAGGAGCTGAATGTACTCAGCAGGAAGTTACAAGACCAGCGGCAACAAGTCAGTGTTGCCTATGACAATGTCAGGGCATTGTGCAAAAAAAAAACTTGTGTTATGGTTCTTAGAGAAACCTCCGCCATGCCCCAACAAAACATGCAAAGTACTCATGGACTCGGGCACATCATTTAGAAGTGAGTATACTGATGTCATTGCAAAGCTACAGGAAGAATTTGATCACAGGTTTGCAGTCTTCAAAACACACAGAGCCACTTTTCAAATGTTTGCTGACCCTTTCTCCTTTAATGTGGGAGATGCCGCCCCCCCCCCCCCCCCCCACTCTCTGCTCTTCAAACAGAGCTGATTGACCTTCAGTGCAATTCTATGTTCAGGGAGGTCAATGGAAAAACAGACAAGCGTGGACAGTATTGCCCTCCACCTTCCCTGAGATTTCCAGGTTGTTCAAGCGGATCATGTGCCTTTTTTTGGGAGTACCTATCTGTGTGAAAAGCTCTTTTCCTCTATGAACTTTAGCAAGTCAAAGTTCAGGGCCAAACTTAATGATGAGCATCTTCAAGCTTTGCTGAGGGTCTCAGTTGCTTCCTCACTCAGGCCAAATGTTGCTCAGCTGTGTAAGAAGAAGTGCTGCCAGGTCTCTGGCAATAATGAGTAGGAAAAGAAAGTGAAGCCTATTTCTTGAGAAACCTTAATGTTTTTATCTGTTATAAAAGAAGGTTGAGCAGATTGTAACAGTTGTACTTTATTGAATTTGTAATCGCATATTTTTTATTGAATACTTGATGCGGCCCAGTCTCACCCAGAGATGATTTGAGTTTGAGACCCCTGCTGTAATCTGTCATCATTAACCTTGGTACTGCATTTTTACCTGTCATCTGTTACAACTTACCCTGGTACTGCATTTTTACCTGTCATCTGTTACAACTTACCCTGGTACTGCATTTTTACCTGTCATCTGTTACAACTTATCCTGGTACTGCATTTTTACCTGTCATCTGTTACAACTTACCCTGGTACTGCATTTTTACCTGTCATCTGTTACAACTTACCCTGGTACTAATGTGTATCCTTGGGGTGGTTTCCTCTGTCCCCTGCTCAGAAAGATGAGATCTGTAATGGCGTCTTGTGTCATGCTTGAAGCCATCATCCTCACACAAATAAGTTTCTTCTGATAAGCTTTTTCCTCTAAAAAGAAGTCATATCAGCCAATGTAAATGTAATTCTTCACTTCTGTTTAAATGCAAATATACTTCATAACATCAGTTTAAATTCATATTTAATTCATAACCATTGTTTATTTTTAAAATTTATTTCAAAACATCTCATTTTATGTACTAAATTGAAAAAGAACAAATATTTTAATTTTCACTTGTAACATATTTGAATGAATATTTCAAGTCAGAAAACCTTTTTAAAATAATTCAACTTTATCTTTTTAACTTACTTAAGACTAAGACTATCTGAAATACATATATATATATATATATTAAAAATAAGAAATAACTCTCTCTTTGAAGCAAGAACTTATTTTAACATATTAATAATATTACTTAAGCTAATCAGAAGTCCAAAAGGTAAATTATTTGCTTTAGCACAAAAAAGTTTTAAAAAATGTGATATCTAGCAAAGTCAAATATCCTCACTCACTGGTGTCAGTTGTGTAGTCAATAATGGTGAACCCTGCTGGGAGAGACTCCTTGTCACTTATCAACTGCACATCAACAAGCACATCTTGGTTCTATGAAATAGTTCAGTGGCAAATTCCAATGAATCTCCTAGCTAAAAAAAGCCCAAGATACATTTTGGGGGCTTGGTTTAACATACTTAACAATGTGCATATGACTTCAACACACACATTTTATATGACTTTAAAACACACTTTTCATTTCAATGATTTATCTTACAACTGATAAAGATGTATCACATTTGACCCCTTTCAATTTATGCAGGCCTATAGACAGACATATAAACATGAATGGGCATCTTAAACAAGGAATTATTTAAAACCAGAATTTCGAATTATTTAAAACCAGAATTTCCCAAAAGATTTTATGGCTTTCTCTCTATTAAATCATACAAAGAACAATGGAAATCGAACCATATGTTATGCCCAGACACAGGATACATTAAAACTTAAAATAAGTGAAATACGTTTGTAGTTGAGAAAAGAGAAAACATCAGGCTCATACAGATGCAGGTACCTGTGTCGGAAGCTGCCTTTCAATGCAAAGGTATCGCATAATTCTACGTGTAAATAACCCATTACTCCACAAGTCAGCATCTTCTGGTCGATCAAATGTTTTGTTGATCTGTTTAATATAATAAGATGACACAATGATAGAGAAGGCTTGACTATTGATAAATGGAAGCCAAAAAAGGAAAAAAAATCAATACTAATGAGATCCTCACTCCCTCTTGAGTGCCGATATAAAACCACCTAAATATTATACAATGTTTTTTTAGATTACTACAGGTTTTATGTTTATATTAAAATTTCTTTCCTCAAAGACAAAAATAGATTTGTTCAAGTGCAACAAGTAAAATGAAAGTAAATCAGGAGATTCTAGCGCATTAAATACTTATCTACTTATTTAATTAAATACCTATATACTTATTTACATTTTAACAGGCAATACATTTTTTTTAACAAAGAAGAAGCTAAATGATCAATTGTTGTTTTTTTTTTACTCTGTGCAGTCCAATGTTTTTTTTTCTTTTTTTTTTCTTCGTTTTTTACATCTTCTCACATAATGGGAACCATAAAAAGACTAGCTAATTAATACCCACCATGTTATATATTTAATTGTTCAGAAATGAATGGGGATTCATATTTTAAAAATTGTGATTGAAAATGATTGTGTGTTTTCTTACAATCGTGATTGAAGCAAGAAAATGACTTTACATTTGAACATCATTTTTTTTAAAAACAACATACTGTAAGAAGGGAAAAAAAAACTATAGAAGAAATAATTTATTGTTTTTTAATTCCGCAATTAAATATACAAAATACAAAAAATGAGTTTTACAAATACTACTGTTACTTTTTTTTAAAGAATTTTTTATGTGGAACATGAATAAGTAGTGTTTTTTGTAGCTAAATTTTGACAAGTGACCTTATTATGCAGAATTATTCAAATAAAAAGTTTCAAACCACTTTTTTTATATTTAAAAGTTTATATTTAATCCAAATAAATTAAAAAATATATTACAATATAACAAATATTTTGAATATTTTTGTTTTTAAATTATTGAAATTTTAATACATAATTAACATAATATTAATCATAATAAAGCTTGAGCTTACATGACTAACTCAGGCCTCAAAAAATACAAAAAACAGTCTAAGAGTCTTCTAGGCTTAGGGGATGTTCTAACAATCAACAATTATTTCAATTAAATAGAAATGTTTATCACATTTCAAACCTTTAATTATCATTACATTCTGATGCTCTTTCTTTTCGAGACAGTAACTCTGCATCATGGAATTAGACTCATGTCCATAAGTAAAGAAAAACAATTAAAGTGTTCTGTAGGTGTTTTTTTTTCCAACCATTTAGTGTAGAGGTACTTCTTTTTCTTCTCTCTTGTGGTAGACATAAGCATTGGTGTAGTCACAAATTATCAACATAATATCATCACAGAAAAATATTTAAGAAATTTCCTGTAGACGATAATTATTTTATTTGTAAATTGCAGGTTAGCATGACATAAAAGCAGGATTTTTTTTTTATCTAACGCAGATATAACAATATTATAACAGTTATAATAATATAAATTATTATATACCGGGTAATACAAAAATATCTTATTATATTATTATAAGAAAAGTGATATTTTTTGAAAAAAATAATTATCAAGCACAAAATCTTAAACTTAGTCCTAAGCCTATTTATTTCATTAGTACTGCAATTATAATATCAAATATTCCTTACCTGCAGTTTTTAATTTTTGCATCTCATTTCTAGTTGTCTGCTTCTCAGAATCCATAATATTGAGACCACGTTTTCTTTTAGGGATAAATTTAGGTATGGCTTGATGGGGGTTCCTTGTCAACATATTCATATGTTTTTTTTTCCAAGTCCAAGTCAATTGGCAATGTATTATCTGCATTGATTAGAGAAAAAAATATTTTAAAAGGATAAATTAATAACTTTTATTATTTACTCGTTAAGGTTAGGCAAAACATAAAAATAACAACAATGAAAACTAAAATCAGCAATTTAATCAGCTGATTACCCTGATTATGTAAACAAACACTTTATTTTAATTTTTAAAGCCAAAACATGATTGGAAAATAGAATTATCATTACACAATTGTAAGACTATAGGATACTATTATTAAATTGCAAAATATATTTTGTTGTTAGGATTATTTAGATGTTAATTTTAGTGGCCTAATCGAGTGAACAGCTAGACTTACATTGTTTGAAACTGTACTTGTGTAGGAAAAGAAACATCCACGTCTTCATTCGATGTTGTTTCATATTAATGTGTATCCCAATCATCAGAAGAGTCACTTAGGGATTCATCTAAGTTAATTTCAGTGTTTTCTAAACTTATTTTGGTTTAAAAAATTATTTTTTTTTAAGCAGCTAGCTCGATTCGAGTCGCGACAAGAAAACAAAATGGATGACAAAAACTTGTGTTGGTCGCGTTAACTTAAAAATTTAAAAAAAAAAAAAATTATACTTATATTTAAAACCTTAATTTTTACAAATGTAACCCTTTTCACTATAATAATAGTTTTATTTAACTAAATCAAAAATAAGTATTACTAAAAAAAAAATTGTTAGCTCCTCCCCTTTCCTATCTGGCGAAATTGACGGATTTATTTATTTATGTATTTATTTAGGCATTTTTATATAGCGCTTACCTTAAAGCTCTAAGCGCTTTACAATTATTAAAAACATGTAAACTAAGTAAAATAAAAATGAGACACTAGGATAGTAACTACTAAACTATAGAAACAATTAAAATGGCTATAAAACGAGGACACTTTGGCACGTTTTGGCCTATACTACAGGATTTCTCAAAAGTTGGACCGTACAGTAGGCCTATTAAATGGATAAATGTAATGTGATACAATTTGTTAAAATCACTTTGTTAAAATCACTTTAATGCAGACTAAAAATGTCTTTTAAAAACATTTGAAGGATAAGGATATATATCCCCATAAACAAACAGTAAGGACTTACTGACAGGGGAGGGCAATACAAGTGGACACAAAAGGCATGATGGAAAGAATACATGGGAAATTTAAATGTTCTCACTTTCCTTATCTGGACTTTATGTTATACAGACTCATAATTTTTAACCGAACAATGTACAAGGTACATCAGCAAGGGATGAATGAGCATACATATAACATAACATTTTGCATCAGATCAATAACATGCATGTCATAACCAAGGACACAAACTTAAATGATCAGGCTAAAAGCAACTTAAAAACTAAGGTTTCTTATCCATACAAAAAAAGTTATTATATTTTATTACATGATATTGGTATCTTATCAGTTATCCACACCTTTTTTCTATAACACAGAAAGGTTTGAGTCTCTGTTGTAAATATTTAAGGTTGTTACACTATTTTTAGGGATCTATGTAAGTTATTTTTCAAACATGGTTAACAACTAAACTTAATCCTAAGAGATTACAGTATTACAGGTTCTAATCGACAGAAGTTTGCACAAGATCCTAAAAATAAAAAAGGTTTGAAAAGATCTCAAATAAATGCAATCTTTTGTGATAATTCAGGAGTGATCCTGTGGAGCAGAAAATACAGAGATGGAAATAGATAGGCCTATAGCTTAGCCATACTGTGAGGAAACCAAAATAAAATATAACTTGACACTCTGACTCTGTTATAGATTGGAATCCTTGGGGTGACAGATAATAGAAGTGAGAGAGACCATGTAATTGTAATATAAACAGAGACTTACTTAGATTGATTAAGACTAAGAGAAATCAGAAAAATTGAAATGACTGAATGGCTCAATTCACTCAGTCTCATTACAGTACAGAGTTAGGCAACCTCAAAGAGGAATAATTTGTAACAGTAATAGATATGGGGTGGCTAATACATGGTGAAGAAATACATACCAAAATGTGGTTTGCTGGACATCTACATGGGTCACTGACTATACACACACTTAAAATGGGCAGGTCTTGGTTGGCATCCATAATTGGCTTTTAAGTTTAAGTTGACTTAAGACCGTATGTATTATGTAATATTAGTATTAGTTATTGTTGTACTGTACACTATTACTAAGTATTTACTATTATTACAGTTTTTACTACTTCATACGTCACACAACCAGACACTAGGTCAGGTTAGAATAGAAATTAGAAAGCTAGTCACTAGAGCTTGTTAACTGTAGTGTTAAGTGTGCCGCAGAGTTTTATTCTAATTTTTAGTCAGTACTCTCAATAACTTAATAATAGTGAGTAGCTTTTGGCGACTACTACATCGTTTATATATTAATTGATGACGGTGATTGAGTTGACATTTAGTACATATTTATTTATTAAATATTAAGTTTTAATCATGTCTAAAATTATTAAACTAGTCTAAATAAGGTTGTTCAACGTGATGATTCAGATGACGAAAAATCACATTAGCCCCATTGTATAATGGTGTAATTGTAATACTACTTCAATCAGATAAGTCATAAGTTATTGTTTCTTTTTACTTTCACCAAGTTAAAATAAGTAGAGCCTAATTTCTCTAAAGGGAAGTCACTGAAACTCTTTACTTTTAAAGTTATACAAATTAAGCAAAACACCATTTGTAATCGAAGTCACATAGCATTATTGTAAAAATCTGTTTCAATATAAATTATTTTAAATAATTAGCAAAGTGCATTTGAAAATCCTTCATCGTATCGTATATTCCGTATATTGGCTAAAAAAATATTTGGATAATGCAAAAAGATTGAGCTAATGATTAAACAACTCAGTGTTAATGTTTACGATTAAAAATTAGAATCGATACATGTCATATTCAACAATTTAATGTCATATTCAACAATTTAATGACATCATCGAAAGTTATTTTTATCCAAATATTTTTATAATTTCGAAACAAAATTGTGCAATACATTCAGAATGGTGGTTCCTAACTCATTGGTTCAACCGACATTTTTTAAACAAATCCTTTTCAGTCATTCGCACACACCAACTCTAACACCAATCGAAAGTCCACTGACTTGGATATCTTAAATTAAAGACGAATTAATTATTTATTTATAATTAATAATACACAGTTTTTTCCCCGCAGAGTGTAACTTTCAGACATTTTCCCCCATTTCAGCTTTTCGGGGAGGTGGGCAGTTGGGGCAGTGTCAGAGGCGTAAATAAGATAGGCGGGGGGCACCAAAAGGGGCTTTGATGATATTTAATGGTTCAAAATAATTAGTTTTAGATTTGGGGTGGGGGCGTAAAAATTAATATTGTCCCTTGACATCAAACACTCTAGCTACGCCCCTGCCAGTGATGTGGAAAGGGGGCGGATAGGCAGGGTTTCTTTCAGGTATATATTCCGGGGGGGGGGGGNNNNGCCCCCCTGGAGCAAAAATATGTCCAACAATAAATTGACTGGCATTGCCCCCACCGCCCCCCCCCCCCGAAAAATCTGAAGTGCCCCCCCCCCGAAAATTTCTGAAATAATCACTGCGGATAGGTGGAAAAAAATGTTTATTTCTGAAATCGAACATAAACATTCAACATTATTGATGCACATCTATAAAATCAAAGTCTTTTTTATTGAAACCAATTATTGCCATTGTGCTGTATGCAGATCTGAGTGCTAAGGAAAAGTGGCGCCCCTGGACAAAGCCTGAAAATGAAGCCCCTCAATATCTAGAAGACAATTGTGGCGCCCATGTGAAGTAGGCCTACATTGGATTCACAATTAAGGTCCAATCTAAAGACTCTTTTGGCACCCCCCTGATGTGGCGTCCGGGGTGAGTGCGCCCTTTGTCCCAGGTGTATGTTCAATCCGTTCATGTTCAGTTAAGCAAGGATTCTGTTAGTCAAGGAGAACTATTATTTCTATGGTCAAAACAGCACAACATCTGAAATGGAAAATGTATTTTCTAAATCACCAGTTAAATGATAAAGCACTTTAGATCCAATCACAAATCAAATTTTCAGCATTTTTAGTACCGGTATATCACTGCTACTAAATAGTTATTATTATTTTAAAATTAATTTTTAGCAACATTTCATTACTTTGTGTCAATAAACTTCCCCGTTTCAGCTCAAGCAGTAGACCTATTGCCAACCAACCATCCGTAGATTTATGGACATTTTGTAAAAAAATTGACATTAAATAACTTGTCCATAAACTTTAGGCTGTCCATAAATTAAAAAAAAACTCTCAAAGACGAGTTTACTTAAAAGACGAAAAATCATTCCATAAAATTCATTTCGCAAAGAAAGTCTGTGCAGAAGGCTAGTAAGGCACTCGATAAAGACAAAATATTCTATTTAAATGGAGAAGGAATTAATATATAATTGAAAATTAATTTTTGAAAATATTTTCTGTACAGACCATCTTGTGAAGATGACCAAGGTTATAATTGACGGTCAGTGAAAATGGTCAGATTTATCCCCAGAAAGCTGGTCCACATTTAGGACAATTTAGGGGGAGGATGCCTTCGAGCTGTGTGAAGTAAAGATAGAGTTGAACAAGGCAAGAGTAGGCTTGAAAAAAAAGACAGGAAAGTTGACAAGTAAAAGGATGTTTAGAATAAATGCCTTCTTCAGCAGACAAACAAAACACCAAACATGTGATTAAAAAAACCCCCAAAAAATAAAAAAATTGTGTTACAAAATCTAAATGAAGTCAGAGTAACTCGATGTTGAGACCTGGAAGCTCTCTATAATAGAGATGAAAGTTAAGTTGTTTGTAGTTTTGTATTGTAGGCACATTTGGTATCAGCAAGTTAAATTCTATATAACAATATAACCAGATGTATTATTTTCAGTACGGTAGTTAAATCTTTGTTTTCCAGTGTTCTTATACTCATATTTCGTAAGTATTCAACAACATAAAAAAAAGCAGCATTAAATAATTGAATTTTTTATTTTTCAGAATAGTTTCTTAGCTAAAATAACTGACACCCTTGAGTAACTGACTGGCCACATATTTGGATTTACTGTACAACACAGTTGGCCACCGCTGATTGAAGATTTGGTTTTTGCTTAGATATCATATATAGGAATAATTGTAATCAGATGTAGGCCTTTGACCAAAGAAAGCTTATTCATATAATTAATAATATGATTATGTCTTAACCTGTGTTATAGAGAGCTTGTTTACATAATATTTCTCGTGCGTGCCCTCTGATTGACACCGCATGAGACGCTGTGTTCACAAAGGGGTGTGGCTTAGGCCTTTGAAGTATTCTTGTTTACACCGCCAAACTACTAAAAATAATTAATCTGTTCCAAGTAGTGTTTTGTAGAATCATTCTGATGGTTCTAGAGTTGTCATGTAGCTGGTAGAAGGCAGGGCTTAGGCGTCGGTAGACCCACCTATATAAGGGATTGACAGGCACGGACGAGGGACGGAGATTTTTCAGATAGATTTTCTTAACATTACGAGGCATGTTTTATTCTTTGTGTATTTGTGAGCTTATATGTGTTTATTTCGCATTATTTATTGGCACATTATTCTAACTGTTTTAACTGTGTACCGGTACAAGATCTACCATACTGTAAGTTGAAGATTGTAATTTTATTTTATTTTGTAATTATCTTAAAAGACATAATAAATCTTAATTAAATCGTAACTAGAAACTGTTTTGGGTCGTATCTTTAATATTGTTGATTCTATGGTATCGTCCTTTGTTAGTAGTAGTTAGGCCCTGCTTACAACGAGCCAATTAAAATAGGAGATTAATTTCTCCCAATACAAGTCAGTGCGTAACACCTGAAAGATGTATATGAAATATTCATGCACATTTGACCATAACTTAACCAACTCCCTGTACTCAATAATCAGATGTAAAAAAAACATCAACTTATGAGCACAACATGAAACACTTGCATGGCATTTAGAGACTTTTATTTCAAACAGTCAGTTTATACAAGATTGACACAATCTTTATTTTCAGGCAGAAGTAAGCAGTTTGGAGTTTGAACTAAACTGTAAGGCGAGTTATGAAATATCCTATATACTGGTAATAACTTCATTGAATTTTACTTCTAATTCTAAGTGTAACTTAGACATAGAATTTTTTGTTAAAAGTACATTACATTGGTAATGGAAATGTTAAAGCTTGAATGTTTTTTCCACTCTCTCACAGAAAATTGTCCTGAAAGGTTTTCCAAACAGAATATTTGCAAGGAACTGGAAGGTTTTCCATACAGAGAAACAGCCTGAAAGGTTTTGCACTCAGAGAATAGGGTCTAAAGATTTTTCCACCCCTTACTCTTACCATTCCTCCAATCACAACTCTTAATCCCTCAATGAAATGTGCAAGGTCCAAAGTAAAGCAAGATAACTCATTAATATTAAGATAAAGATGCTGAGGGCCATTGAGAAACAACATAGCAGGAACCATGTTGTTTCTATCTGGTTCATGTCTTTTCTACCTAAACCGTGTCTTCTCTACCTGGCCCATGTCTTTTCTACCTTGCTCATATCAAACAAATATGAAACCCTGTTAGAGTTAGTCTAGAATTATTGAAAGCTTGAGGACTACAAGAAGAGAAAGAAATAACTTTTACAGAACCTTCCATTCAATGAGTATGGCATGCAAATAGAGAGCAACCCCCCCTCCCCGCTCCCAAAACAGTAACATTGCTAACACATCTAGTAAGGTCGTTATGATATGATATGAATTCAACAAATACAGCACGGAAAAAATTGTGTAAACAAGAAACAAATATGGAGTGTATAAATGTCACAAAATAGTGGTCCTCATCCTTGTAGCATAAAGTGGCAAACAGATAACTTCACAAACAAAAAACAAAATAATAATAATAATTAGGCACCATTATGGAATTATCTTTATGTACTTGGTAATAAATGAATAATGTAAGACGACAAAATAGTACAGTACATGTAGAATTTAAATTTCAAACTAGACAAATACTGTCATGAGATCCTCAAGCCGTAAATAATGGGATCCCTGTCATAAGGAAAGGAAAGATATTTACAAGAGTGCAGATCATAGAGAAGTTTATTTTATTTATTGTTTCTGTTTTTCTATGTCTCTTCTAAAAAATATGAGGTAAATAATATTTTTTAACAAAATCATTACAAGACATCATTACAAATGAAATAAACTACAATGAATAACATGCGATGTGGTCCTACCTCGAGTTCCATTAAAGTTAAAACTGTGTTTCGTAACACCAAACAGTTATGTCCTTAAATTAAAACTGCATTAGGACACAAGTAATGTCAAGTCTACCCAGTGTCGACTAATGCTTATACCAATATCCAACTGTTATGTGAAGTCTCCCCAGTGCCCAATAATGGTTATATCAGTATCCAACTGTTATGTGAAGTCTCCCCAGAACCCAATAACGTTTCATCATATCCAAAGTCTATCAACAAAATATTATCCTTTCTCTTCGGTGATCGCTTACATCTAAACTAAAATCTAAAAATACAATAAAGGAGACATAAAATATAATACAATCATTAGGAAAAGACCTCCTGGGTATAAGATTAATTTTGTTTCTTCTTTACACTGATTATTCCATGATCAAAAATAATTTAAATCCAGATAGGAAAATGTTTGCAGGATTCAAAAGAGCATGATGATTTTGTCATGTGAATAATAAGTTCAAAACATTTTCAAGAAAGTACATTAACAATCTGAATGGCTCAACAAAGAGTTCACATAACAATAGTTGTTGGAAGTTATTTGGAAAGAACATTTGAGAAAAAAAACATATGGTACATGTCACTGATTGTTTACATAACATGGGTGAAGCTTAACACATCATAGGTCAACCAAACACATCATAGGTTAATCAAAAACATCACAGGTCAACCAAACACATCATAGGTCAACCAAACACATCATAGGTTAATCAAACATGTCATATGTTAATCAAATACACAATACAGAAAAGCTTAACAACATATTGCATGTTTGCTATGCTTCACAGACCTTCAAAAGAAAAGTTGAATACATTCCAAAGTGCTTTAAACAGATCAACTTCATTTGACCATTTCAAATCTTATTAAAAAAATTTTGTTAATGAATAACATTTAAAAAATGATCACAAGTAAACTTTACTAACACGTTTAATTTCTAGAATTATCTGAAACGTTAATTCCTAAAATTATTTCAAAATTCAATTGTTATTAGAAATATTTCAAAGATTTTTCAAAGAAATCAAACAATACATTTCACAATGTCTAGAAATGTTTGAGTTCATTCAATTCTCATCTCTTAACAGAATGTTAAACAAATATGATATGACTAATGTGCCTTTCAGAGCCTGAGATCAGCACAAGCTTTGCTCACAGTTTTATCATCCTCTGCATTAATCACAACAACATTGTTGGCCACTCGACTCAGCAGAGCTGCCACTTTGTCCTCATGCAGGCCTTGGGTCCACAAAGCTTGCAGATACTTTTCAACGCTGTTTGTGCCGTCAGGATCCAGTTTCAGCGCATTGGGATCCACATGCAGTATGAGAACCATCATCACATCTTTGTACGGGGCATTGTCGTTGTCACAGTAACCATGCAACAGCAGAGCAGCCTCAGGAGATAAGGACTGAAGGTTATCCAAGATTACAGACTTATGCTGGCGAAATGTTTCAGTTAACTTTTCATCCAGTTTCTTCTTCTGCTCCCCTGAGCTCAACATTTTAAACAAGTCAATATCAGCAACAGTGAACTCTGCCAGCTTGCTTGGTTTGACAGATTCAAACTTTTGGGTGATCAGTTTGGCTATGCAAGATGCAATATGACCGTTATAGGTTTGTGAGGCCATCAGAATCACACTTGGATAGTCAGAATTTGGGTCATCCAAAATGTGTCGCGATGATGCTTTGAATGTGTTCCAAAAACGTTTGCTCTGATTGGGAAACATTTTTTCTAAACTGTCGATGTTAGTGATAAATGACTCATAAGGTGAGACATTGGTAGGTGGCTCAGTTGTCGATGTATTTGAAGAGCCAAAATACAATAAAATAACTACAAAGAAAATGGAAATAATAATTATAATTATAGAATTTGAGGAAGAATAATTCTCCTGATTGTGATGGTCTGGATTTATAAAGCTTTCTTTCCTCCAGGTATCACCAGAATTGTTGTCATTTAAGTTTCGGCACCGTACTGTCTTATCAGAGTCACTAGCATCCAATGACCTGGATTCATTTCCAGCCTCTGATTCTCGTGATAAATTGTGTAGAGATTCATCCAGGTTCGGGTAAATATCGGGACTGCTCCTAAATCCTGGATTTTGATTGGTTGGCAAAAGAGGATAAATACGCTCTGGACTTCCTGTGTTAGGGGAGTTTCTATTGGGGGAACCATATCCATCAGATGAGCTCCTTGATCCTCTGCTATAGTTTGGACTTTTATCGGGCTCATCCAAAGTTGAAGAGTCCGACAGTAGGCTTGTATTACTGACATGGCCGGGAACTGGAGATTTATGTTTTAATAATGGACTTGCTAGCCTTTCCCGTCGATTGCGCAAGTCATAATTGCTTACAGTCTCTTCGTACAAATTTCCATCACTTTCACTTTCACTATCATGTTCATTCTGTTGGGGTTTGGAAGTTTTTCTTGGCATCTTGTTGTTGATAAAACTATTGAAAAATGAAAAAAATTTAAGATTAGAGCAGAGTTAAAGAGATCGTTGCTACGCAATGATGAAATAGTTTTCTTGGGGAATAAATTTTAAAAACTGTTTAATTTTAACTTAATGACTCCATTGAATGGTCAATAAACCCCTTATTACACACGCCATCTTGAAGATGCAGAAACACCATTAAGGACAAGATAATAAATAATAATGAGAAAATAGAAACTGCAGCCCAAAGGAAGGTCTAATAAATAAACTTAGATGGTAGAATCTAAACCAACCTATTCAGTCATCCCTTGTTTATTGGGTTAATCAGTTCCAGAATCTACAGCGCTAAGTCAATGTCCATGAAGTAGGATTCTTTATTTGTAAATCACATATTTTTAGTTAGTTGGAGCATAGAAAACTTGTTCAGGATCCTCTAAATATGGTTTTTAACATTATGAATTCCTATGGACATCATAAAAGACCCCTCTAGTCACCATTAGACTCTTATTACCCAATATATTAGACAAAATAAGAGAAAATAAGACATATTAAACATTACAATATAATATTATTATTACTGTATATTGAATTGCAGGGGTACTCGAATACATAAGCCTACAGTTCATATATGTAAAGTAATTTTAATTGTAATACATGGGTGCATAGTTGACTCAGAACAAAAATGCTTCTGGTAACATATTTGAATTTTGTAGAGTAAGGTTTAAAATAGACAAGGATCTTAGTAAGCTAAAATGACAAAGTCATTATTCAATGTACCTGGACAAAATTTTAAAATCTACCTTGACGAGCTCATAAGCATAAAAACCCAATTGTTCCCATGTAATATTTCCACAACAAAAATGTATAATAGGCTTTAGAATGAGTAAATATGGCTTATGTTGCTCAATATCAAAATAATAAAGAATATATGCCTTTGCCTGTTAGTCCTAATTATGATTAATATTTAATCACTATGCTCTTCAATTATTTTATATGAAATTAATTGGAGCAATGGCTGGAGACAATAAAAATTCAGCATCACAATTATTTCATTTTTAATCTGTGTATATAATGAGTCCCTATTCTTGTTAACATTCTAAAACATTTTATGCCAAAATAACATTCAGTGTCGTACTCACAGGGCCTGACAGTCAGTCTCATAGGTCTTAAGTCTTAAATTTCTTTTTAAAATACAGAAAATAAAGGCAACAAAAATGATGGGCAGTTAAATTTTTAATTGAATTTCACTAAGTGTCATTAAATTGCATTCATCTCTTTTGCATAAAATTTGAATTATTCATTTAAATGTTAGGCTAATGCCATGAATCATTTAGTATTTGCTAGTTTTATATTAAATATAATCTCTAAGATTTTAGCTAGACCCTATATTTTTTACTCAGTAATATTTTGAATTTGATAAATGATGTCACGCAAATTTTGAGGATTTTGCTCCCCTTCCCCCCTACAAATCGTCACATAAACTTTGACCCCCTCTAATATAACATCACAAATCTCTGCAGCACCTCCCAAAAAAAAAAAAAAAATTCCCTGTGTCCACTAATGTCCTTTACGAACCCTTAAACCCTTAAGAAATTCACTTTCCATGGATATCAAAGTACTGCACCAGTATCAGAATTGCTCCCCTTCCCCCCTACAAATCGTCACATAAACTTTGACCCCCTCTAATATAACATCACAAATCTCTGCAGCACCTCCCAAAAAAAAAAAAAAATTCCCTGTGTCCACTAATGTCCTTTACGAACCCTTAAACCCTTAAGAAATTCACTTTCCATGGATATCAAAGTACTGCACCAGTATCAGAAACATTTTACTAGAACAGTGCTTCTTAACCAGGGATAAAAGTACCTCCCCAGCCCTGAGGTGCGGAAGACCAGAACATTGTTTTTGCTGCCCTTTCAAGTACTTGCTGCTTTTTTTTTTAAAAATTAGTTTTTAGGAGCAACAAATGTTTTTCTGGTGAATTTTGTTTTTGTGTGCATTACTTGTATTGGTAATTTTCTTTCCTTGTTTATAAAAAGTTAATCAAAGAAATAAAACTACAATAACTAAACCATTTAATTATTTTCAATTTTGTTACAAAATCATTTATACTGTGGGGGAATGTTTAAAACTGAGTGGGGCTGCAGCACTGCATAAAGTTAAGAATCCCTGCCCTAGAGTATTTACTAAACAAAGTGTCTACACGTCCGGCGCGCCGGACAAATAGTGCGCGAGATATACGTCCGGCGACATGTCACGTGACCGCCGGATGACTAGTAGTCGTTATTATTCCCAACGAAGAGCCAATTGGCAGATCTTGTGTGGTCTTGTGGTAGAATGATTGCTTGACATTATTATATTTGATGATCAATTCCTGGTATGGGATTGTTTTTTTCCCCCCATTTTAATTAAAAATATTTTATATTATATTTATATTATCATGTTCATCAGCAACAGTAGTTTCATGAGAGTTTTTAAATATTTTGTTGCAATTTAAACAATTTAAGATGAGATCTTTTGCTTTTATTGGTTGCCTACTCCACACTGGCCCTTAATTTATTTTATGGATTACTGGTACACAAACTCAAATAACAAACTAAACAAAAATGTTTACAAGCCACTTTAGCTTAATTTTTTCTATTATTTGCATTCAAGATACTCAGTACATTAATGGTAGAGAAATAGATTTTAAAATTAACAATAGTTTTGAATCATTCGCGTTCACGCGACAAGGCTCACGGACAAGATAGCTCTCGCCACTTTGTTACGGCGGTCATGTGACTTGGTCGCCGGACAAATAGTGCGGGAGATATACGTCCGGTCGCGTAGACACTGCCTTTACTAAAATCACCCCCTCCCACCATGGGTCAACCATTTTTTTTGTTCCGTCCTACTTCACGTGGTAGTCCTAATTCTATGACTCCCGACTTCACATAAATTCTCTCAACTGTCAATGTCACTACACCCATTTGTTCCACCTTGATGGCAGCCTGTAACTTGATAACAGACCATTTCTCCTACCTCGCAGACCTGTACTGATGTTCTCAGTGATCATAGTTTAAAAATGCAATTATTATAATTGTTGTATAAAAGAATAAAAAAATATATGTAATTAAGGGTTATAAAGTAATAGTAATTGTAACTGAGACCACTCAGACTCACTATTATTGAAATGACTGAACTCAGACGACAGACTGCCTTGCCTTACAATTTACTGTCTTGGTCATCTTACGAAGGAGTGCGAAGGACCAACCACCAATATTTTATAAATTTAAAAAATTAAAATAATTCAAAGAGTGTGTGTAACATAGAGATTTGGAAACTTACAAAATTTTGGTTATTATTAGTTAGATCTATATATTAACTTGAATGATGGGCCATGGACATTTTCCAAGAAATATAAACTCCGGAAGCAATCTGTGATCTCAGTAGTTATGTCTCAACTTCAACTAGCACAGTACAAATATTTAGTTTCGCATTTTATGTGGAGCCAAGAGTTTTTAATACAATAAAAATGTAATTGATGTAATAAATTTTAATATTAGTGCAATGGGCATTGATGGAATATAGTTTAATAATTAGGCCCTCTAGATAGTAAATAATACACATTAATATAATAAATACTTAAAGGTAATAATTTATGGTAATAAATAAGCCTTCTCGATCTGAGTTTTTGTCATTTCAAACCTTCCTGTGCGAGTACTACATTAGTACCTCTTCTACGAGTACCGGGAGCCTACTAAGTCTACTTAAAAAGTCTCATTTACTTGATTTTCGTGAACCCTATGCTCGTGTAACTACTAATTACTACTAAGGGGCCGTCCATTAATGATGTCAACAAAATAGGGGGGGGGGGTGAAGATGTTTGACAGTTGTTGACAAGGGGGCGGGGGGGGGCTTACATCAGCTGACGTCAACAATCATGTCTTCTCTATAAAATTAAAAGATTTTCGTGAACCCTATGCTCGTGTAACTACTAATTACTACTAAGGGGCCGTCCATTAATGATGTCAACAAAATAGGGGGGGGGGGTGAAGATGTTTGACAGTTGTTGACAAGGGGGAGGGGGGGGGCTTACATCAGCTGACGTCAACAATCATGTCTTCTCTATAAAATTAAAATTGGCTGGTTATTACATTATTAAAAAAAAACTAATGAGTGTAAACAGTCATATAATTTGTAGGTGTCATGTACTGTGGCGCCTCCAGTAATAAACAACTTAACAAGCCGACAAGGTTTTGGTTTTGACCCCCCCCCCCTTCCCTTCCCCTGAAATGACGCCCCTGATGGCCATAATCTATAGCAGCCGATTTAACATTTTCATCCTGCGGAGCTGTTAGACCAGACACGTCCCATTATCCTTATCTAACCATTCATCCCATTATAGAATTATTAACAGTGTGGGCAATACTTGCCATAAGCTCTCTCTGTCTGTGAGTTGGTATAGTTGTTATTGAACACCAGAGGCATTCTAGGGAGCGGATTAAGAGATTATATTGTTAAAAACCTAAACATATATGACCATTTACACTCATTAAAATTGTTTAAAATAATGTAAGAACCAGTCAATTTTTAAGATTAAATTTTAATATAGAAAACAATGGTGACGTCAACTAATCTAAACCCCACTCCCTCCCCCTTGTCAACAACTGTCAAACATTTCCACCCCCCCCCTTTCCCTATTTTGTTGACGGAATTAATGGACGCATCCTTAGTACATACATATTTTTTAAAAATTACATTTCATCATTATCTTTACGCAGTGACGTAGCTAGGGTTAGTACCGCTCGCCCCACCCAGAATATCTCTGATGGAGGATGGAGAAATATCAATTGGCTGCCGGTCCGCGCTTGCATAGAGTACGAAATTGAAACTCTGTGCTATCGCTGCTTGTATGAAATGGAGCCGTCCTATCTCAAAGCGCTCATTACTCCTTATGTAGCCACTAGATTATTCCGTTCATCCGATAGTGGCAAACTCTGGATACCGCGAGTCCGCCTTAATACCTACAGAAGGCGCACTTTCGCTGCCCCAAGGATCTGGGACACCCTTCCTGTCGCTCTCAGAAACAGCCAGACACTGTAGTCTTTCAAAACTAATATGAAAACACATCTTTTTCGCACTCACCTTCTGGGGTGATGTGGTCAACAATCTTGTTTCCAATTTGCTCATATTCCTCGATGTAGATTTTGTATTGTTGCGTTTATATTTTATTTGTGAAAAAAATATAAATGGTCATATATGGTTGACTTTGTACCAAGCTTTGAGCCTTAATTAGGGATAAAGCGTGTTTTTAAAATGAACTTTATTATTATTTTAAAAAAATGCATGATTTTTTTTTTTCTGGCATCCGTCCTTCACAATGTGACGATGGTGTGGACTTCGCAGGACGAAATCCACAAGGCCTGGGATTAAACTTCTAGGATTATAAGCTGGTGCCCAACAGCAAATCGCCTCTCTCCACGCCGCTGGAAAAGCCCAAGAGAACATCATGTGGATGATACAGCTTGGCACCAGTGACGTCGCAGGAGTTGTCGGAATGTTTCATTGTGCCAATGTTATCCGCCCACGGGACTCCTTCTTCGGGTTGAATTCAGAGTTTCATTCTCTTAGATGGGTTGCCAAATGAATTAATATTTTCTACATAAAAGGGGAAAGAAATCATGCTTTGATCAAATTTCAAGGGAGGGCGAGTAGACTAGAGACCGACCCAATGTCGGCGCCAAAAGTTGCCGCCACTTGATCACTTTCGCCGTAGTTTCGGGTTTGGCCGAAACTTAAAAGTTAATTTTCGGTTTTATTTTGGTTTCGGCCCAATCAGATGGCCGAAAGTGATTGAGGCTTTCGGTCGTGCACCAGAAGTCAGACTGACTGTCTTTAGGCCGGCAATCCGATATTCATTATTGCTCAACGTTTTGCTGTCATCGTATTTTATGATGAGACAGCTGCATGATGACCTACTTGTCCTATATTTCCAAAAATAATTTTCAATTAGGCTTAAGCAAACGTAATAAGTTTGTGGAAAAACAATTAGGGGACTGGTAATATTTATAAAATGAGACTCTAATTTTGTTTTAATTTTTTCAAAATTTTTGAACCCGAAGTTTATTCAATTTATTTTGATTTATCATTATCATAAATGTTGTACGCATAGCCGCTATTCAGACACAGGCACATCACTCTCACACAGTCACACCACCCTCCCTTACTATGAGGAATTTGATTTGACTTCTGAATAAAGACCAATAATCTTTCATGATTATAAAGACATGCAATAGAATAATAATACTAAGATTAAACCTATCTTTCTCTTACAAGACATTGTCTTCTAGTAGATTCAACCTTTCAGCACAACCTGGTTTCATCCCTGGCCTCATCCCATGTCTCATCCCTGGCCTCATCCCATGTCTCATCCCATGTCTCATCCCAGGCGTCATCCCATGTCTCATCCCTGGTCTCATCCCTGGTCTCATCCCTGGTCTCATCCCATGTCTCATCCCATGTCTCATCCCTGGTCTCATCCTCAGTTTCATACCGGGTCTCATACCGTTTCAAAGGAGGTGGAGACAAAGGCACATCAGAACTTCTTGCATCAATGCACCAGCCAGAGCAAACATCAATACACCAGCCAGAGAAAACATCAATACACCAGTCAGAGCAAACATCAATACACCAGCCAGAGCAAACATCAATACACTAGTCAGAGCAAACATCGCTACACCAGTCAGAGCAAACATCAATACACCAGTCAGAGCAAACATCAATACACCAGTCAGAGCAAACATCAATACACCAGTCAGAGCAAACATCGATACACCAGTCAGAGCAAACATCAATACACCAGCCAGAGCAAACATTAATACACTAGCCAGAGCAATAATTAAGATACCAATCAGAGCAAACATCAAAATACCAGCCAGAGCAAACATCAATACACTAGCCAGAGCAAAAATTAAGATACCAATCAGAGCAAACATCAAAACACCAACCAGAGCAAACATCAAGACACCAGCCAGAGCAAACACTAATACACCAGCCAGAGCAAACATCAAGACACCAGCCAGAGCAAGCACTAATACACCAGCCAGAGCAAACATCAATACACCAGTGAGAGCTAACATTAATACAACAGCCAGAGCAAAAAATGAACAACAAAATCAGTTCAGATTTTGGGAAACATAGTAACATTGATATGCTAGAGTTCCTGATCTGAACATTGAGCCACATAGACTAGATTGAGATCTTCAAAAACTTCAGTATCATTTAATTGTCTGCTGCTGAAGGCGTCTAGCGGAAACGTCCATTTAATTGTCTTGTCCAATTTAGGAAGAGGGGCCTACTGTAGATTAGTTGAACACCAGTGACTTGATAGAACAAAACAACAGAAATCTCACTGTAGTTTTACACCTATTTATTTTGTTGATATAAAATTTGACATTGATGGAAAGAAAAGTCAAGATCACAAAGAGGCCCTCGCCTTGACCTTGGTAGAGTGTCACTTGCAATCAGCCATTATAGATTGGGCCTGTTCTTTCTGTGGAGATGAAGTCAACAGCAGATGTTTTAACATAGTTTTGGCAGCTACCAAACAAGAACATAGTCACAGATGTTTTAACATAGTTTTGGCAGCTACCAAACAAGAACATAGTCACAGATGTTTTAACATAGTTTTGGCAGCTACCAAACAAGAACATAGTCACAGATGTTTTAACATAGTTTTGTCAGCTACCAAACAAGAACATAGTCACAGATGTTTTAACATAGTTTTGTCAGCTACCAAACAAGAACATAGTCACAGATGTTTTAACATAGTTTTGGCAGCTACCAAACAAGAACATAGTCACAGATGTTTTAACATAGTTTTGGCAGCTACCAAACAAGAACATAGTCACAGATGTTTTAACATAGTTTTGGCAGCTACCAAACAAGAACATAGTCACAGATGTTTTAACTTAGTTTTTAACAAGACAGAAAATTAAAAAAAACTTAGAAATGCTACAATAATAAAATTATATAAAAAGCACAAATGCATGAAATTATGTGTACAAAGACATCAACTTATAGACATGGTACAAAGACATCAACTTATAGACATGGTACAAAGACATCAACTTATAGACATGGTACAAAGACATCAACTTATAGACATGGTACAAAGACATCAACTTATAGACATGGTACAAAGACATCAACTCATAGACATGGTACAAAGACATCAACTTATAGACATGGTACAAAGACATCAACTTATAGACATGGTACAAAGACATCAACTTATAGACATGGTACAAAGACATCAACTTATAGACATGGTAAAAAGACATCAACTTATAGACATGGTACAAAGACATCAACTTATAGACATGGTACAAAGACATCAACTTATAGACATGGTACAAAGACATCAAATTATAGACATGGTACAAAGACATCAACTTATAGACATGGTAC